TCGATCGAAGCCGCATACGTGGCACCATTTTTCCTTGAAATTTTCCGTCTGCATGCATGCCGTGTTTAAAACTCTATTCAGTAGTCTGGATGGATTTCAGCAGCTTAAAGGATTTCAAATAAAGCATATCAAAAATTAAGTAAAAACTCGGTGTCAGGTACCTCTGATGGATTCCTAACAGACCCTACTGACATGCCGTCAAAACAGCGTGGGGATACATTCACTTAGTAGCGTGCTGTGTCCACGTGGATGAAGTTAACAGCTGCTGGTCACCTGATCTACTAGATAATATGAAGATCTCAAAACGCTACAAACAACTAGAGAAAGACTTGCTAAACAGCCTTGCTGTGAAAATAAAACTGACCTGCCTTTTCAAAGTGTTTAATTAATTCTAAAGTTTTATTTTAAATTCCTTTATTATTACTTTGTCAAAGTGACAGTATGTTAGCTTGGGTCACATGACTAACCGTTCTGCATTCAAATGACGGCCAATTTATTATTCTTTTGTTTGCATTGTAATTAGCCCTGTTTGGCTCATTTTCGCCTCAAATTTCTTTTGTATTTTGTACATGTTGACGAGGCAAAGGGGGCTAATTACCATGCAAACAAAAGAATAGTAAATTGGCTGCCATTTTGGAATAAGGTGTATTATAAGAATAGAAGGTGGAATTCAAAACTTCCTTTTCACCTGAGTCGGACTAAAATTTGAAACTTCCTCATACTCTGGCACGGCTCTAAATGTGTGACACGGAATGTTATAAATGTTATTCGTTGATTGCTTTCCGCCGAGGTACCAAATCTATCGCCAGTAGTTAACACATGTGCACGTTCATACCCAGCTTTACTCGTAGTAGTTAAGAAATACAAAAACTAGTTTAACGCAATCATCAAAATGTAAATTCTCTTTGCTCGCGTCTTCATTACATCGACAACTCGTACCAATGTGATCCCCGCCTGTAGCAATACAGGAACTACGTAAAAAGAAACTCGATAATCCCTTATCAGTAGAACCAACGAATAAGAAAACAGAAAACATTATATGCAGTCAATCCAATAAGTTGTACTGCGGTTCAGAGAAAATACGACTGCGACAAAAAGTGCATCTTCCAACGTGGTATTTTCCGACTTCAGCCGTGAGTATGCGATGTTATTCTCAATTCAGGTTCACAAAGTTAAAATTCTTGATGTACAAAATTGATTGGGAGGCGCGGTGTCCTCATGGTTTGTGAGCTCGCCTCTGGATCAAGCAGCACCGGAGTTCCAGCCCTGGGGCCCGTTTCTCGAAGGTCCCGGAAAGCTTTCGCACCCGGAAAGCCGTAGCAAAATCTCAAACCTTATGATAACAGAGCTGTTTTATTTACATATTCTTAATATGACCAGAAGTTCCCTTCATACAAGAAGTTTCAGGCCAATACACCTCTGTTTTTAGATACAGATTAATTAAAAATGGTTTTGCCGGCCCGAAAAGTTTCCGGGGCTTTCGAGAAACAGGCCCCTGGCCAGGGAAATTATGTTGTATTCTTGGGCAAGACACTTAACTCTCAGTGTGCCTCTCTCTACCCAAGAGTATACCTGGGCACCGGCGAATTTAATGCTGGGGGTAATTAACCCTGCGATGGATTAGCTTTTCATCCAGGGGGAGTAGAAATACATGTACTCCTAGTCGCTTCTTGCTACAGGACGCGGAGATAAGTGTTGGCCGGGCTACTTGTAATATATCGCTCGTAGTCATTTTCAAATTTCCAAATTGCACTCGCCGTGGGGTCAAACAGTTTGAAACATTAGTACGACAGTTCAGAGAAACAGTGGAATCCCATAGTTTCTCGAACCCTCATTTTTTCGAACCTCCGGTAACTCGAACCAAAAGTCGTTTCCCTCTCCTCAGTCGAACACTGTAATTTTACCCCCGATTTCTCGAACTATCCGATTTTTCGAACCAATTTTCGTTTCCCTCGGGAGGTTCGAAAAATCTTCTCTTAGATTAGGCTTTTTGTGGTGTCGGCATCTGTACAAAATATGGGCAGACTGTTTAGCACCTTTTTGATGAAGTCTGAATTTTCTTGGTATTTGGAGTCGCCATTGATGTATTCAGGTGATGTTTTATAACAAACCTTTTACGTAGGAATTTCCTGAAACTCTAGTACCCTTGGCTTGTTGACATTCTTTAGTTTCAACAGTAATTAAATATATTTATAACTGCGTGAAATAACTTTCAAAAATACTCTTTTACCCGCGCGCGTTGAGCTGCTATGCTGAAGTCTACTTCCAGCTTCCTAAGACAGCAACAGGTTATCGGTCTACTTTTTCCGTTCAGGTGCGAGAAATTCTTGCCTGTAGACTAATTAACTATAAATGCAAGATAACATTGAAGAGTTCGAGTAACTGATGCCAATTCTACATCAGTCTGTTCAATATTCCTCTCAATGAGTTTCAGGATTTTGTGAAGCAGGTCACGTAACCGTTCGATCTACTAGACAGAGTCTGAACTTGGAGTCTCGAAATAGTTTATGTATGGTCGTTTCTGACTTCCTTAGCATTGATTACCAAGTTGATTGACGGGGTGTAAATTTCTTTTGTCACTGTCTACCTCTGATTCCTCTGATTGGTTCCGTACATCACGTGCTGCTTTAAGTGCATTCTAATTGGCTAATTCAATCTTCCCGCTGAAATTTTAAAATAAACCTTACCGTGAACCTGATTTCACTGTCCTAGTCACTCGTCTGATCGATAGCAACCTTCTGTTTCAACTCCCTTCGGTTATTATTTCGTTCCTCTATTTCTGCCTCTGCACTGCACTTCAACTGTAAGTTGCTTTCACTGTTTTATCTGGCCTGAACTCTGAGGATTTCAGTGATTTGTGGTAAGTGAAATTGCACTCATACGATGTTTACGTTTGTTGGCGCTAAATGGCGAGTTGCGCGCCAATTTCGTGCTTTCGTGAAAATTCAGTTTTTCAGGCAACAAAGCAAAACATGAGTTTTCTTCACTTAAAAAGTGAAAGTAGCAGGCTTGTATTTACATTGAACTCCTTCTTTTCTCTCCGAAGTTCCAACCTAGTTAATTTGGAAGACTCCTTCGATCAGCGATCAACAATGGAAAGCCCCGACACGAAAAAGGCGCCAAATCTCGAAGACAGTGGCTGTGTAGTCGATGGATTACGAAGCGCCCTATGCGATGGTGATGTGGAGGATGAAAATTCAATGATGGTACGTTTATTTGTAAACCCTACACCGTTTTATTCATCGATTTTGATGTCCAATTTCTGATTTTACTGTTTATGTGTTCGAGCGCGCGGAGTACATGTGTACGAACAGGTGTTCCAAAACAGTCTAAAACAGGCCGTAAATTCTCAGCTAAGCATTTGATCTCAAATTTTCAACTTGGCTGTTTAAAGCCAGTAAGGTTTTGAAGCCTGTTAGGATCGCTATATTTTCTACAATTTTTTTGAAAACCTTTTCGCTCGTACGTCGCCATTGTGAATGTTAATTTATGCGTGACGTCGTGAGCGTAGGCGCTTTATTCTCTGCACCTCTACGCGATCCTCTACGCGATCCTCCACGCACATAGAGAAAACACGTGCTTGGCCGGAGTAAATGTTTTAAAGTTTGTTCTGGGTTCGTTTATAGCATCACGCCAACAAACATGACATCGGTGAGTAGATATTGCCAATTTCTTGTATCGAATATTTGCATTTAGGCCTGAGCACTTTAAAGCGGTAAGAGAATACCATGTGCATCCGGTCTCTTTGACCGCCTCCAGTTTCTACGATTGTGTTCGTTTTGCTTCTTCGCGCGAGTATTCTGAGGTAGTTGGCTTTGCTTTGCTTTGCGCCGTGTTTCCGTTTAACCCACAAACAGTACTAGTGTGAAATTTTGCCAAAACTAAGAGCATTTTCATTTTGCAGCAATGTTGAGCCCTACAATAGTTCGCCTGTATTGTACTTGCCTACTTATGCGTTTAGTGTCAAATTTCAGGAATGCAGCCTTCACACTCTAGTATTTAAGAACACTGTTTTTCGACTGCCTCTATCATATCGTTGGCGACGTTTTGCGTGGTTTTGAAAGCTTTTATTTGTCAATCTGTGATTCACAGATTATTAAATTGCGCAACCCGGGCGCCGACGTAGAATGAATAGGCACTCAGCTACTTTAGAATACAAAAAACCCCTGTGAGTGAAAGGAGTGAACAGGCACTCACCTACTGAAGGGTCAATTCAACTGAACATGAAACGGGTTTCGTCTCGGAAAAATAAAAATACAACAAACCCCTGTGAATATTAGCCATTGCCAGATGCGAAGCTTGATCTGCTGTTTGTTAGCGTCCCGTTTTCCGCATGGCTGCGCGCAGCAGATTAGCAAACATTGTCAACGCTTCTCGCCTTTCCTGCAAACGTGATAGGAAAAAATCGGCATGTTTCAAGAACAGTAAAAATATCTTTGACAACACACCAGCGAGAAAGAACAAACTGTACCGATCTAAAATGTAGCATGTAAGCTAGGCTTAGAGCAGTTTCACGGAGATTATTTATGAGGCACTGATCTATAACCACTCTTTACCAGTTGATGTCATAAAAAATGCTCAATCATTGGTGAACGTCAGTTGAACACATTCAAAGTTGTGTTTAACACTGACTCTGCTAAAACGTTAATATACATGGTGAAAATGTTATTTATTTTGTGGCACAACGGCTAAATTATTCCCTTTACAAGCCTGAAAATAATTTTTGTCTATAAGGAGGTCATTTGTCAGGCCAAGGACAAGTTTTGACCTGACAAAAAGCCAGTCTGGTTAGACAATTTTTTTTTTTTTGTCGTTAGAAATTTAAATTAAGGGACATTTGAGACACTTTGGTATTTGAGTGTGGACCCTTCACCAAAATGTTGGTTGCAAATTTGAATGGCTTAAGAGTAAAATCAACTGAGTGTAAAATTGATACTAGCAACAGAAAGGGGACATCTACAATACTTCAGGTATTACAGTATTTTACCCATTAAAAATTGACAAATTTACAAATGTTTCTAACTCTAGTTTGCCTTCACTCACTTGATCACACGTGTATTCTGTATTTTCCTGGGTATCAAGTTTTCCACGATGTCTAAGGAAAACCATGGGGAAATCCGACATGGTCAGCTTGTCAGTATAAAAACTCACAATAATATTCAGAGACTTGAAAATTGGCTGAAATGAATTATTGGAATTTTTCCGAAAATTTTTTAAGGTCAATTGAACAAAAATTTGCATAATAAGATGAAATTTGAATTGGAAGTGGTCATGACTAGAAAGCGTGACTAATTACACTATATTACACTTTTCACAAAAACATGTCTGTGGTATGTAAACTAATTCAAACTATGTTCTACCATAGAGGTAAAAAAAACTTAAAAGAGGTATAAAACTGATGATTGATGATACAGACTAGAAAAACATTTGGTTACATTTCAGAGGTTTTAAAGTTTTTAAAAGTGATAATTTGATAAACAAAAATTTGGGCCGTGTATCCAATTTACATAATATTTTAATCGGGCCAAATTATGACTGAAAATTGATTCAACAACACTTGCAGATAACAAACGACAAGTAACAACCTAAGACCTCAGATTTTAGTGTTTTGTCAGACGACTGTAATTCAGACTAAATGAGGCTCCACGATCTTTCATGACACTACTGCAAAATGCGTAGATAAACATGTAGCCTGAATAGTGGCGCTGATGTGGCTTGTTTACAATTCGATGTGACATTTGAGACAACACATTGCATGTGATAATATTGTTTCTCAGAAATGGAATGAAAACAAAACTGATAACAAAGCTTTTTTGCCTAGTATTGTTTGGCAGTATAATAAAATAACTTGTTCCATGTTCAGCCACAAATTTCCAGTTAAAATATTTTTTATTCGGCAGAAAGCCCGGTTAGACTGTCCGACCAGGCTAAGCTTTTACCTGTCAAAACCTCAAATTTACTGGACAATTGTCTGATGACCGACTGTTATTTGCAGGCTTGCTTTATGAGATGCGCTTGCAGGAAATCATGGTAGTTTTATTCATCAAAACAAATGCCCAGTCTAAGAAGATGAATACAACTATCACGATTCCCTGCAGGCGTGTCTCATAGAGGTGATACGGGATGTTCAGGGAGCGAATACATACTAATCTGCCCCTGAGCATTCCATAATAGCTATTTGAAACAACAGAATTCAAAATGGCCACCATATCACCGAAAAGGTCCATAAACCATAGGTAACCATACCAATGG